AAAAATTATTAGTGTCGATATTAAAAACTATTTAAATTTCTTAAAGCTCTTTTAAAACTAGCTAATGATGGGCTTTGTCTAATTGATAAGTCTAATTCATTCCAGTCGTTTGAGGCAAAATTTGTTAGAATTAAAAACAGGATAGTAAAAATACCACTTCAGAATGTATCCAAAACATGCGATATGAATAACGAACTACTTTTTACATTTTAAAGTTTCAAAATCTTTCATAAAAATCCCCATCGACAATCAAGAGGTAGTTAAACTCATAGACAAAGACAAACGACTGCAAAAATTTCATTCAGGAGCCATAGTGTCTAATTTCTTGATCAATACTTAGGGTATTGATGTGTATATCAGACAACTTGGTGCCTCTTGTTGTATTCTGGATTTAGTTTCTAAGTTCCATTTACTAAACTCAATGAATAACAATGATAAGCCACTCGAAAGTGAGAGTGATATGATAAAAGATGGTCACTCTGTTACCATGATCAACCATTTTGATTTGGCTAAATCCTGTCCCATATTGTGTAGATTTTTCTGCAGAATGCTTACGGTTATTATCAAGATGGATTTTTTAAAATAAGAAACACTATTTCTACGAGATGTATATAATGAAATGTTGTTTTTACTGAAGCTGAATCCATCTATAATAATTTATAAAAATAAACTCTAAATCTAAAAATATAATGAGTGGGGTTGCTGGGTAAATGTTTTTTAACCTTACAAACAACATAATCTATTTGGATATGATACCACTCCATGGTAGACATAAAGCCTAACAGGTTTTAGCAGGCCACTTGATAAGGTTGCCGATAGATGGGATTAGAATCCAGAAGTTGTTTTTTGTGGAGGGAGGGAAAACCAGAGAACCTGGAGAAAACCCCTACAGAAGAGAACCAACAAATAATTCTACTCGCATATGAAACCATGCCTGGCAGGACTCAATCCCCGGCCATCTTGGTGAGGGGCGAGTGATCTCAATCCTAGCCACCCCTGCATGCTTCCCAGTACAATTTCCTGGTTATGATCCTAATAATATTCTAATGATAACCCAATAAATTCCCAATGGTTAATAAATTCCCAATCCTGCTTGTTCAGAAGGTGATTCTTTTTGCCAGATGGGAGGGAAAGGTGCAGACTAGATTTTAGATTGTGTACTAATTTTTTAGTAAAGGAAATCACACGATCTCAAGTACAATTCTGAATTTATAGGTAAGAGTGATGTTTTGAAGGTTTTTCAAAATTGCAAAACATCGCAAGAGTATCTATAGATTTAAGTGTATTGAATTGATTTTTTGTTTTTGATACACTTGACAAAATTGAGCAACTAAATTGGGGTTCTACAGAGTACAATTTGGGATTTAATTGTACCCCCTCTTTTTCAATCAAAATCGAGTAATTTTGTTGAGTGTATTATAAATGATAATATATTAATAATAAGAAAACCTGAAAAGGGGATGGGAAAAGGGAAGGGCGTGGGTGAATATTGTAATAAAAAATCCTAAGGAAATAAGTCCTGTATGGAATATATGTAAATCAGAATGGTAATGGGTTATTTTGTGAATCATGATATGACATTTTTTTTGTTAAACATAATTCATACCTCCTACTACCCCATTTAAAACCCTGGGAAATATGTTGAAGATTAAAATCACTTAGTTATCCAGATCTTGGTTCTTGGTCCCCCCCCCCCCCCAAATATAATGTGTAACTGAATCTGAGTCTCTTCTACACTTGCAGAATCGTGACGACATCAAATACAGGCATTCACCACCACACGGAGGAGGGGTACAAATCTCCAATCGTCTCCTGCAAATCATAGTTGGGTGTCTTGTCTTTGGTGTTTTGCTTCTGTTTATCAATRTGCTACAGCTTAGAAATCTAAATCATAGGAGTTTTGACGATGGTGCTGCGGTGCAAAAACCATTGGCCTTAATTTGTGGTAAAGATGTAAGTTTATTTGAATTGCTTTTGCCACCTCCTATAAACCCTTTTCCCCAGGGTTCCTAGAGCTGAGGGACTCACTTCAGCTACTGGTGGCCATCTTGGATTTTTCCCATAAAAAATGACGGAAGGAAAGCAGCCACCAGTGCTACATTTTTTTAAAGCAACAGATTGCTAGAGAGGGACTCACTCCACCTACTGGTGGCCATCTTGGATTTTTCCCATAAAAATGACAGAAGGAAAGCAGCCACCAGTGCTACATTTTTTAAGCACCAGTTCATTCTCAATGGCCAATTTTTCAAATTATAATTTTCATTGATAATGTCCAGGGATTATGAGTACCAGAGGCGTACTGTATATAATTTTGTCTTGATCAGGTATAATATATAGCCTCCTTTGCAGACGTTTTATTTGGTTTGAACCACATAAAACGTCAGCAACCCCGGGGGGGGGGGGGGCGTACTCCCTTTGTTCAGGTGGTAGGTGTGATCTGCGGTCGATTTTTAAAACATGGTCCCTAAAAGGTAGACATAAATTAAAAAGGCTCTTAAAACCAACCTGATTTCAAACCCTAAAAGGTACAGCTTTATTTTAGTAATTTACTATTAACCCTGGCTATCAAYGCCGGTTTAACAAATGACAGGACACATCGTATAATAAGATTATAACGATGATCATATTAAAGAAATATTTAGTGCATCATTGTAAAGTAAACAGCGGCATAGCATGGATAACATGCATCATAAATGACCCCAAAAGTTACGGAGTTATGTTACGTAATTGACTTTTGGGCCGGAACCCCTACAAGGTCCACACAGGGAACATTTTCAACCTTAAAAGGAGCGCCG